AAACGTTTTTTCAGTTAACGTAAGCGCTTCCGTAGCATAGTGGTAGTGCGTTCGCTTCGTAAGCGAAAGGTCGTGAGTTCGATCCTCGCCGGGAGCTTTGTAATTATTTCCATCATTTTTCCCCTTCTCACCCCTTGGAAGAGTGCCTTTTTTTACATTTATCGTGCGTTTTCGTCACTACTATATTCAATGACTCTGGTTTGAGGTTTCTTTTCTCATAAAATAATAAAACAATTTCAAGTACATCTGTACCTGTAGTATTTTAATACACGAACAATTAAGATAGATATATTTAAACAATTATTTTAAGAGAAAATTTTAACTATTAAGTTATTTTTAATACTTGTTACTGTTTAATTATTTTTATAAAGTTTTGTAAATTTTTAATTTATAGATTCCAAACAAATGAAGACTTTGTTTGAGTTTGCTGTAGGTTTCAAAATAATTTTTGTCAACTGAACGTTTAGAAAATTTAATTGTGAAGTTAGTATTTGATAAATTTTAAATTTAAATACAAATGTAGGTTATAGTTTTTTTTGGGTAAATTAATATTAAATCGATGTGATTTGGCTATAATAACTAAAATAGAAACACTATTAAGATTTGTTTAATTCATTGTTGATAATTTATACATTTTTTGAAAGATAACTATTTAAATTTTTATATGATTTCGATATCAATTTCAATTTATACAGCTAACAATTGGAGATAGCCATTGTTATAACAAATTATAGTTTCAAGAAAAACCATACTATAATTTTCTTAAAACAAAACTAATCAAAAATTTTTTTTTGGTTAAAAATAGAATTTGATTGTTTGAGAAGATAATAGTGTATAAAATCAACATTAAATTTATTTAAGGATAAAATTTGATTTTTAACGAAATTATTCCAGACGTTAAGAGTGAGTGTGAATGGATACTGACCTATGTGGAGGATTTTCAGGAAGGAAATTAAATTTTTTGTGGAGTTTCCTCTATACTCGTTTCAAGCCCGATCAAGAGTCCCTTCTTTTTGGTATCCTCCATTGAGTGGGTGAAGATAGATGTGGATGTTGCATGTAAGGAACCCATTTTTAGAACTGGAATTGGTGTAGTTGGCATACATGATAGGGATCAAATTATTGCCGCTGTTTTTTGAAGGGTATAAGTTTACCGCGATTTGTTGAATGCCGAGTCTTTGGCTGTGCTCGAAGGTCTTCGAATGGCAATTATGTTGAATTTCCAATCAGTGCAATTTGAGACTGATTCCCTCAAGCTAGTCAATCTAATTATTGGAGACTCTGAAGCTCATAACGTTTCCAACGTTCGGGTGAAGGATATTCGAAATCTGGCGAAATTTTTTTCCAATTTTAAGATTGTCCATGTGTGGTGTATCACGAACAGGGTTGTCCATAAGGTGGCTTCTTTTGTGTTTTCTTTAGAGAATTTTGTTTTCTTGTCCTCTGATTTGCTTGATAGGCTCTTTGAAGAAGCCTGGCACAAATGATGGCTTTGGTTAAAATTTAATGAAGTTAGTTTATCTAAAAAAAAAAAAAATTTTTTTGACTTTTAGAATTTGTTAATCATGGGCATGTAATTCCCCACCTTCTAGAGTTAGTGGCTAACAAATTTTACAAATTTAAATTTGATTATTCGCAGTAAATTTTATCAAACACAAAAAACAGTCGAGACTTAATCACTTCAAAATCTATTAAAAAAAAACTAAATCATATAAGGTTAAATTTGTAATTTAAGGCAAGCCTTTTCATAAAGCATGGTTTTTGAAAAAATATTACGGAGGATTTTCCTGTCGCATCAACAAAAGCAAATACGATTGCGATGATGATAAGGCTACAAAAATAGTGAAATTTTGAGGAATCACAAAAATGCTAAAACAAAAAAGAGAAAAATTAAAAAATGAATAAAGCAGCAATTTGTTATTAAAATATTATTTATGATCCATGTACTTTTAGCTTCAATTCATTTTAATCCCTGTATTTTGAAAATATTTAATTTGGTGTTCGTACATTAAAATTTTGTTTATCTTGATTTATGTATTTTGAAAATGTTTATTTTAGTACTATACTTTAAAAAGTGATCATTTTAATTAATTATTTGTAAAATTTTAACACAAGTTTTGTGTTTATATATACACAGAAACTCTACAAGATAAATAATATTTACGTGTTAAGAAATACATTGATTTTAGTATGATGTTGGAATTGTGATAYAGAAAATGAGAGTAAGAATAAAATTAAGTGTTTAAAATGATCCCTTTTTAAAAGTATAGAGATTAAAATGAATAAAAATTAAAAATATAGGAATTAAAATGAACAAAAATTAAAAGTATAGAGATTAAAATGAAAAAAAATTGAAAGCATAAGAATCGAAACGAATATTTTTAAAATATAATGATCAAAATCAACCACGGTTAAAAATACATTATCTATTTTAAGCAAAAAAACAAAAAAAAAAAGGAAAAAAGAAAAATTCGTTTATCTAATTGTTTTCCGACAGAACGACATGCTTAGTGTCAGCAAGTTGGCAAAGGAACAGCCGAGCCGTCGCATTCAACAAGTTGATGATTGACACGCTCTAAAGTATTTCCCAGCCTCACCCACCACGACACGTGTCCTATCCTCCAACACTGGCCAATGAAAAAAGACCCGCAACTTGCCCCTCACGTGGGCCCCCCCTTCCCCGAGTCCTCGCCGATCCCCTCCTCGATTCCTCGTTGACTTTTTTGGGTATTTTTGTTTGACCACGGTTCGAGTTTAAAAACGTTATCCACGTTGTTTACGGGAGAGAGTGGAGGGTGCGAGGTGAAACCAAACACCGTTTCGATGCCCAAATCGGTAAGCCCACGTGTCGAATAGCCAAGACGTCGAGATTTGACCGACACGTGGCGATTCTGATTAATAGCCATAATTTCGACACGTGTCTCGAAGGGAAATATTGTTGATAGGCACGCCAAAAGGACAAAAGCGGAGTGTTTTAAAAAAAGAGGAAAATTTTTCGTGTCAGGTCGGACCACGTGTCGATCTATTACGACATAGGATGCCACTTGTCTCCTGCAGGCATTTTTCTCCCCTGGAGGGTATTTTCGGTACTAATATTTTATTTTATTTTATTATTTTTTTAATCGACTAATTTTCCATGGGTGAGGAGAGAAAAAGCTCTTCCTTTTCTCCCTCTCTGCTTCTGTGTTTCCTCTGATTTCTGTCAATTATTTTTGCGCTCTCTCTCTTTATTTCTTTCTTTGTTGTCCTTCTTTTCCTGTTCCACTTTGTTGGAGATCTTTTACAAGACTGTTCGTATTTTTGTTCTTCCCCCAGAATGGAAATTAGCGTTTTCCCTCCCTTGATTTCTCTGTGGGAATGTGATCCAAGATTGTACTTTGATGTGTTTTCTCTTATATCTTGAGTATTAATTTTCCCCCCATTTGTTTTTGATTCATCATCTGCTTTCTTCCTTATGGGTTTTGCTAAACGAGATCGTGATGGTGCGCAAAAGTTTTGATTTTCTTTGTTTTGAATTGAAACATGGGCGAAGCAAACGAAGCAGGAAGTAGAGGTATGGAGAAGCTTCCTCTACAATCTGAAAAATACCCAACAGATCTGCTGCAGAGATTTTTGTGTAGCAATTCTCATCAAGCCCGTATTGCGGCGTTTAATGAAGAAGAAGATGCAGAGGAGATTGAGCTGAATCTCGGGCTTTCTCTAGGGGGTAGATTTGGGGTTGACAAGAATGCGAAGAAGCTTATTCGGTCGTCGTCGATTGCGGGTACGATACCCCTTTTGAGGGACGACGAGGGCTCGATTCCGGCAGCAGCGTCGTACCCGGCGTTGATACGGACGTCGTCTCTTCCGCCGGAGACGGAGGAGGAGTGGAGGAAGAGGAAGGAATTGCAGACTTTGAGGCGAATGGAGGCGAAGAGGAGGCGGTTTGAGAAGCAGAGGAATAAGGACGGGATTGGAATGGGGAGCGGCGGGTGTTTTGAAGAGGAAAGACGCGAAATTGATGGCCTTACCGGGTTGAATTTGAGAGAGAAGAGGCCTTGTTCTGGTTTCACGGCGGTGGCGCCACCGTTCGGGTCGCCGACGTGGGCTGCAGCCGCTCGACAGGCTCTTATCTTAGGCGGAATTGTGGATGAGGTGGCCAAAGGCAAAGGATGTACATCAGGTGGTGGCGGTGCCGGAGGTGGTGGTCTACCAGGCGTCGGTCAGCCCGCTTCACAGTGCTCCGCTGAGTCGCAAGGTGGAAGCTCGTCGGGGATGTCGGAGTTGGACAGCAGACACATCCAAGGTAAATCATTCTTCACCTTCTAATAGCATGTCCTTTAATTTTTGCCATTAATGGTTGTTGGTTGTTTTTCTGTTTTCCACCCTGTTTTGTACCTTCTTTGAGCTGTAGTTTATTGTTTGATCTAGTACTGACATAGTTTTATCAGAAAATATGGCCTTAGTTTTATGATGGGATTTCATCTGTAGCTTGCAAATTCATAATCTCGAAGGTACTTTTAGATCATAGGCAAAATAAAACCCATGCGTGAAATAAAGTGGAGTGTTGAACGACAAATACCATGGCTTTTTGAAGCAAAATTTTCTTCCACGGTTGCACATTCTCTGATAATGTGCGTCGATATATTTCGTTATATCTCTGCTGTAACTGATTCTTTATGGATAACTTTGTTCCCCATGTGATATTTTTCTGTTGGATGGTCCCAACTTCTGACATAGGTTCCTTCCCCCCTTAATTCTTATGACATTTGGGTTACTGCTCTTTTTCTCGATGCATAAGCTATGTAATATGCACAAAATATCACTCTGCACCTTCGGTTAGGGCTTCTGGTTATGTTTGTTTGTTACTCATGTTCGACAGAGAGTTTCATGTCAAAGTGTTTCGATGGATTGGAGATGCTTTTGTTTAGAAAATTTCAGCATTTTTTATCTGTGCAAGGAACAATTAGCCCGAAAGTCGAACCATTCGCGTTATGTTTAACAGAACCATTGGTGAGAAGAAAACATTGTAGTAAATATTGAAATGTGAGACATGATAAGTTGAATAGGGCTGAGAAGTACTGCAGTAAACTTTATGGCAATATTGGCCTATTTTGCAGTTAGTAACTATCTGATTATTTAAGTTTCATCCTATATTTTGAACTGTTGAGCAAGCCACACCATCCCTCTTCCACCAATAGTGACATTCTTAAGGCAATTGTGGAGGTTGTCTTAGACTCGGTGAGCTTCCACTGTCGTAAACGCTGTCAATGAAGATCCCCCATCGAGAAGGGAGAATGAAATGAAATAGTATTTACAGGAGATGCTGGGCTCCTTTGCAATTTTTGGAGAAAGTTGTATGTTTCTTTTAGGGGCACCAAAGGTACTGCCTACAAGTGTATTTCCAATATGCAGCAGAAGTGTAGGTCTGTCGATGTATTTCGACGACAACAACCCCACCTAGAACGAGCCTATCATGTATTTAGTTTCTTCAATTTGATTAGTATCAAAAGATTAGAAATCAAGGTCATTGGATAAGGTTTTTGGAGACTGTTGAAACTAATTCAATCAAGTTGTCGGAGTGATTCAGAAAATAACTACAATTTATCTATCATCACCATTTCCTCATTATAACCTGGCCATATAATCTAGACTAAAATGAATTGAATATTCAAAACTAACACTCGGCAACATAATGAGTTCATTTTGAAGGGGGATTATGTGCCTATTTCGTGAAATGATGTTCTTCAACTTGCAGGATCGAGCAGTTATGGCGAAGCAAGAAGCTCCTCACAAGAACGAGGCAACGCAGAGGCTGTGGGTTCATCAGGATCAAAGATGTGTGAAAACCCATCTGGCAGTTCCCAAGCGGAGACAAAGAATCCATCCAAGAAACCCGACTCGGGCGAGAACAGGGGAAGAGAAACGGGACCAGGAACAACGTCGATGGAAGACATGCCTTGTGTGTTCACAATAGGGGATGGGCCTGATGGGAGAAGGGTGGAGGGAATTCTCTACAAGTATGGAAAAGGGGAGGAAGTGAGAATAATGTGTGTGTGCCATGGGAAGTTTCTGTCACCAGCAGAGTTTGTGAAGCATGCTGGTGGGAAAAATGTGGCTCACCCACTGAGACATATAGTTGTGAATCCCAATTCTGGCCCCTTTTTGTGATGATGTTTGTCCAACCATCCTCTAGTCAGCCCCATCAAACATTTGGGAAGCCTTCAAATAGGAAACATAGAGAGCTTAGTGTTTATGAAAAGAGATAATCTTTTTTTATTGTATTTATTTGTTTTCTTACCTTGTAGAGTGAGTCATGTCTTGAAGAGATTTTTGAATGGCTCTCAGCTGGAAGAGATATTATGGATCATAGCATTCATATTTCTTCCTCGTTTGTATCTCAAGTTGGATAGAAAAGAAAGCAGCAGCAGCACAGGACCATTTTCAGAACAAATTGTTCTGAAACTTTCTCTGATGCAGATTGAGGCATCGATCCTCATCTCGCGGACGAGGATGCTGTGTCGATCTTCGACGAAGTCGATGAATGATGGGCCTCTCGCCAACATAACTGTCTCTCCTTTCTCCTGCTTCTTGACATTAAAATCATGGCATTTTCATAGTCATTGATGGAAAGAGCATTGCTTTTCCACATGTTGAATATTGTGTTGATTGTCTGCTGGTGCAATAAAAGCTGCTCTTTTGATACACTGCTAATCAATCAAACAGATCTCCTCTAGCATGGCAAAATGCTTTTAATTATTCCATTCATTATGGACATTGTCATAACATATCCATTAGTAAAAGGTGAACTAAAAAAGCAAATTCTACTACAGTATCAGACTTACTGTTTCACCACTGTTCTGACTCGACACATTAAAGAAACTAGGTCAAATACAACAACTGTCAGCGGGTTGGAGAACAGAGCTGAACCAGAACTGTCTATGGTGTGGCGTAATGTCTTGGCTACCAAATGGTGGTTAAATAACTGAAACTGCAAAGAACGATTTTGTCTGCACTCCTGAACCGGGGATTCAGTTTGCAAGGGGGGCAATATGGTATATTTTTTACTCACCCTGTTTCTAAACGCCTAAAAGGGCTAGTGTAAAAAATTGAAAAAAGATTGTGTGACAATCTCTTCAGCGACAATGTCTTTTCAGCAACAATAACGAGGACGATATTGACAAGAAGGGAAAAAATGACGACAACGACTAAAATGGCAACAATGATGAAAATGACAGCTCCATGTGCAACAAGAAGAACATGAAGGCAAACTCCATGCGCAACAAGAAGAATATGAACAGAAACTCAATTTGCAACAAGAGGAACATGAACAGAAACTCAATTTGCAACAAGAGGAACATGAACAACAATTCCATTTGCAACAAGAAGAACATGAACAACAACTCCATGTGCAACAGGAAAGAGAATAGCAGCAGGGGAACCAAGATTTCCCTGATGATTTTGAAGGGACTGCAGCACCTGAAGTATCCTGGTGCTTCTTTTTAGCATCCCCAGGCACAGATCCAGCCTGCGCCTCCTCATCGGCCAAACTGCAGACATTGAGAACTAGTTAATTTGATGCTCATACCGCCTGTCTTCTAGCACTATTAACGAAGTTGCATRACATTAATGATCAGACAAAGAAACATCGACCTCATAGAATTGGTAAAGTAAGTGCTCCATAAGAAAGTCATGAAGAAAAAAGATAAGGAGGTTGAAAGAAAGGTACTTATTGGACGCACTTTTGACATTGTTAATAATGTTGAAGAGTACGGAGCATACATGTTAGAGGTATCACAAGACAATCCTTTTTGGCTACAGTTCCAACAGTAGCAGAACGGCCTGCTACAGTTCCAACAGCAGCAGCATGGCCATGTACAGTAGCAACTTGGCCATAGCTTGTAGCAGAACGCCTGACTACAGTTGGAACAGTAGCACGATGAGCATGCACACTTCTTCTTTCTGCAACACATAAAGCGCATATTCCCTTATACTCTAATTAGCATTTGCCAAGATAATGGGATCTATCTTCGTGCTCTTAGATGTGAAAGAAAAAAAAGATACACAAAAGAAAACAATATAGTAGTCTAAAAAGAAACCGTATGAATGCCTATTAATCAGGCAGAATGCTAGGAAGGCATTATGAAAGGGTATATGGAATCCTAAGTCCTTAGTAAAACATACTCAAGCAAGCACAAAGTTGGGAAGTAGAAATCCAATTAATGATGTTTTTATCAATAAAGTATGAGCAAATACTTACATCGGGAAAGCAAAGGAATTCGAGCTGCTTTGACTTCTATCTGAGTGCCGAGATACGTTAGAGGAATTCCATGATATTGCAGGAGGCGTCCCCTTTCTCTCACTTGGACTTCTTGTAATCACACCCTCTTTATCATTAACGGTATATTCTGCGGTATCTTCCATTTTAGTATCCTTTTCAAATTCAGCACTCTTCTTTTCAGTTTCTCTTGATGTGATAACTGTAGGTGGTGGGTTAAACACAAACAACTCGCCCGATTTTGTCAACTCGTCAGGCTTACCCAAATCACTCAACCTAAACACATGATCTCTGGAGAGACTATTGTTTCCGACATTAATGCTAAACAACGATTCATTTGAGGCAATACTCCATTCCAATGGAGTGATTGATCTACTTCTTTGGAAAACTGCAGACGGAATTCTAAATGGATCATATTCTCCCGCACGATCCATCGTCTGAAGAGGAGGGGATTGAGTTGGGGACAAAACATTTCTAACGGACTCGGGGGTAATGTCAGAAACTTGGGATGCAAATGTACCTTGAAAACCGCTACCCTTCTCTGATTTGGCAGAACTGATGCTGGAAGCATCGCTCTCATCATCTTTAAACTGAAGCTGGTAAATAACATGATCGGGATTACCCAAACAAATCGTGCCTGCTTCAGATTGATTGATATGCGCGTCAACTTGAACGAAATCTGATAATTCCAACAAATTTAAAGACGATGAAGACCCATACCCCAGTTGTTTGGTTGGGGAAAGTGGAAACTCTTTAACAGTACCTTCAGAATTTTTACTATCACTTCTGTCTATTATTTCTGGCTGTTCTATTGAATGTTCACTTCTTTCACTTCTACCCGTCGCTGCCATATGTTCTTTCAAATGCCCACTTTTCTCGCCTTCAATAGTTTCTAGTTTCGCTACTTTAAGCTTTCTTCACCCACTTCCACCAATAGAACCTGAATCCGTTTCTAAATGTGAGTTGCTTCGGCTTCTATCAGGAGCAACAGGACTTTTTCCAAGATCCATGCGGCTTTTGGTCCTTTAAACAATTCAATAGCTATAATTAGAGAACATTTTGCTTTAAAGATGTTTATATTCTGAATTGTCAAAATTTTGCTTTAAAGGCATATATCCCCACCAAAAGTTTATGGGTTCGAAAACCCACCCACATATTATTGTACTAAAAATAATGCTGTTTAGCATTACGATTTAAGAGAACAACAAAATTGATGGAATACGTTTTTTCAATTATTGAAAAAGAAAAACAGAAGAGGAAGGACGAAGCACAGGGGGATTCATTAACCAGTAAACACAAACGCCAGGGGCAAATAAATATAGCCATTTTCAAATTTTCAGCAATGCATACTGATGTTAAATGAAAATACATCCTCAGGTAAACAAAAGCGAAGTTAAAAAAAGAAACTCAACTCACTTGGATCRGAAACGCATGAAACGTCCCCTTGCTTTCCAATTAACTCTGATGCCTAACCGTTACCTCCAAATCTCGCCGGAAGCGGCACCGGCGGTGGTGCGCGGCTCCAGTCTAGCTCAACGCAAGGAAAAATCCATGAAATCCATAGAAATCTAGCCTGTGTTCAAATCAAAATCATCTTCAAGAACCAGCCACGTAAATCTTGCATAACCAATACAAAAAGGGGGGGAAGAAACAAACAGTGAAATTGTTTGATCCGTAGATACCGCAAAATAAAATCCCGCCAGGAATGAAAATGCAGGCGATTTGTTATCATTCGTTGCAGGGAGAAGACGAAAAGGAAACAAAAACAACAACAACAACAAAAAAAAAAAAAAACGGGGAAAAGAAATAACGCCAACCCAGAAATTAGGGTTTGGGGGAGGGGAAGAATGGCAAAGATGGAAGGCGATGCGCCCATCTCGCGGGTTTCAGTTGCCATTAGATTAGTTACGAACAGAACAATAGCTGCGTTTCGCGCCTGCCTCAACTGATCCTTCCGCTGGGCCCACTACTGCTGAGTTGTACGACCAGGTAGGCTCCTCACACTCTAACAGGAATGCCACGTCATTCTTACACAAACCGACTTCTCATGTTATTTTACTTTATTTTAGTTGTGGTTTTATCTAAACAAAATAATATTATTAATAATAAAACTAAAGTTTAGTATTAGCCATTTAAGTTGGAAAATTGGATTGAAGAGCCTTTTGAACGCCAACTATAAAATGTATCACAACTTTCAAATTTTATGTTTTCTAATAATTTGCTTACGTCACCCTGRCGTGAAATTACAAATTATCTCTTTCTATTTTATCTCTCATTTTCTCTGCTCTTTCCTCTTCTTCTCAACTCTCTCTTCTTTATCCTTCCATTTCTCTGCAGATTCTTTTCCTTTATCTGTGATTTGATTTTTTTTTCACTATGAGATTTTTCAAGGACGTGCACTCTTCCCTCTCCTTCTCTCTTTCTTTCATTTTTTTCTACTCCACATCCCATTCGATTTTTTGTTTTCCTTTGATTTTGGATTTTTTTGTTTTGATTTTGAAGGCATGCATTTTTCTCTCTCACCTCTCTTCCTTATTCTTCATTCATCTCCTCTCAATCTTGACTCGGACCTTAAAATTCAAAAAACAAAATAACAAATATACAACACAAAAAACGGGGTCACACCACAGACCTAAAAGAGAGGTAAAAACTCAATAAAGAATACAAAGAACAAGGAGTTAACATAACCCCCAAATAAAAAAGAAAAAAACAGAACACAAAAAAAGCTCTCGCTCTCGCTCCCGCTCTCGCCCCTCTCGCTCCTGCTCTCAGCGCCCTCGCTCCCGCTCTCGACGCTTTCGCTCTCGACGTATATCTCTCATTGGAAAAAAATCGTAAATGGAGTAACTTGTTGCTGGTTTTTTCAAAGAAGGTGAAAGAAAAAAGAATGGGAATGAGAAGAGGTGGCTTGGGAGGGATAAGAAGGAAGATATCAATAAATATTTAAGGTTTTTTATGGTAAGTAAAGAAGAGAGAGAAAGTTAGTGTTAGATTTTTCAGGAAATAAAGAATTTGTGACGAGGAAAGAGGAGAGAGGAAATAAAGAGAGTAATAAATGAGAGTAAAAATGAAGAGGGCAAATACGTATTTTCATGCTAGCAAATGTTTACAAAGAGAGGGGTGGCATTTCATAATGGGCATTTGAAAAAGGTTATTTAACTAGATTGCCCATTTAACCTAGCGATAATGGACCCAATTTTTGTACTCAAAAATAAAAAGTCAAGTTTAGTATTAGAAATTTCATATTTGTGTTTAATTGGTTTTTAAACTTTAAAGATTGTTTTTATAATTATAGGTTCTGCAACTTTTAATTTAGTGACTTAATTGTGTGTTTTAAAAGTAATAAATAAAAATGTGTAATATGAACATAAATTTTGAAAAGTGTTTTATGTATTCGAATTTTTAATTTTGTGCCTAATAGATCTTAGAATTTTAAAAGTGTATAACAAATTTCTAGACTTTAAATTATGTGTCTAATAGGTCTCTAGAATTTTAATATCATATTACGAATTTAAATACAAAATTAAGAGTTAGTCTTATTGGATACAAAATTTAAATTTTTTTTATCTAATAGATCTATTAATTTTGATTTTTTTTTAGTATATCAATGAGCTCTTATGGATTTCTTAGACATATTAAAGTTGGTTTATAATTTTCGTTAAATACATTACATATTTGTTAGTGGATGTACTATTTTAGACATATTTCTAGGACAAAAATGCATGGTTTTGAAACACAGGAATTAAAAAAACTTATAGTTGAAAACTCAAGGACCGAGTATTTTTCCTTTTTTTTTTTTTTGGTATTTCCAAAAGATAACTGTAACACAACGGAAACCAGACTAATTTTGTAATAACTTTTTTGCTTTTTTAATATTTTAAAAACTAAGCTAAACATGAATTCAAATTTAAAATAATGAAATATCTCACTTGGGATGCAAGACTATGAATATGTAATGGATGCGGAAGTAGAAATAGAATGATGGGTTATTATAACTAGAGCCAAGTTTGATCCATGACCCTCTTGAAACTCAAGAATCTAACATCAACCATCTAAGGGTGGGTGTGTCTGGGAGTGAATTTCAAGAGGAATCATTAGGCCATGGATCAAAATAACATAACATAATCAATAGAGTCGAATGTACCAATAATAAGATTATGGTCAGAAAGCTAACTCTATTGATCAAAATTACAAATAACATAATGAATTTCAAGTAGAGATGGTGAAAAGTAGGAATCATTAGGCCAAAATTCTACATTTAACTCATTTGATATTGTTTTGCTCAAGTCAGTTGGAGATTGATCAAACCTCAGTTGAAGCCAATTATGTTTTAACTTTTCTTCATTCTGCATCGCGAAATCTGTCTAGTCACATTCTTAACACAGTTACAACTGGATTCGAGTTTTATTGATATCCACCAAAAATTTGAATCATGTTTGAACATCTGTTTCACTGCATCCAACAGATCATCCTCCAGTGCATCGACTTTCGGAAGCTACAAGTTTCTGGGTGGATGTTCCTCAAATTACTATCATTAACATTGGAGCTCACTCTGCAGACAATTTTTCCTCTGATGTACAAGAAGCTTCAATATGAAGTGATTGAGGTCCCGGCAGAGCATCCAAGGAAAACAGCCAATGATGAACTTTCGGGATGTTCGTTGAAGCTTCAGTTTTCCAAATTCCAGCGGAATCCATAGCTTGGGGCTGGAAACTTCAGAATAAGAAGTGACCCAGTTGCCAATTCATGCATCTAAAACATGCAATATGTTAAAAAGAATGCAAGACTTTAAGATTCCAGTTCTTCAACTCCTTTGAGTTTCTTCATAGCCAGAAAGAATTAGCTCATTAGCTGTAAGCCCAGCAAATTATGCTCAGAGATGCTTCGAATTTCAAGCATTCAGACCAGCCCAGTTCTTGAAAGCTATTAGTGATTCCATTTTCCTGTAGTTCCTTTTTCTCAGTTTTGCCACTTTGAGTTTCTTATGGGTCTCCATGAATGCTTGCTTATATTTCCACTTATCAACGAAGATCTTCGTATCCTTAGTTTTTTCAACGACTTGCATCACGGAATCAAAGAAACCTCCCTTGACCAAAGCATACAGAAATGCATCGACCAAGTTGCTATCGAGTTTGATACCTCTCTCCCCATCTGTTGTAACCTTCCACTTAACTTCGTGCCACAGCATCAGAACACAGAAATATCTCTCTGCAGACACATAGCCATTAATAAGGGACAAGAAGGTCTGTTCATTCGGTTCAAACTGCAGGAATTTCATCCTTCGGAATGTTCTCCTTGCATCCTCGAGCCTTCCAGCTTTGCAAAAGGCATGAATAATTGAGTTCCAATCATGAGTTCCGACTTCAACAAGAGGGTCCTCAACAACTTCATCTAAGAAGGCTGCCATCAACTCAGGCCTATGGTTCTCCATCAAGCCAGTCATAATAGTTAGATAACTAGCCCTCGTGTCAGATTTCCTTGTTTCTCTCATACTCCTGAACAAAGCAAAAGCTGACTGAAAATCTTGGCTCGACATCGATGCCTCTATTAGAGCATCGTAACTCTCTGCATCCAACTGAAGCCCAGAACTGCTGATATCCATGATTAATTGGGTGGCTTCAGCTGTTCGATGCTCCTTCTGGTAAGCCTTCAAGATTGGCAGATAGACTCCAAGGCCCAGAGGAACTCCCTGGGAATTGATCTCGTTCAGAATGCTGTGCGCCTTATCTAACCGTCCAATATTAACACATGCATTAATGATACCAAATCCAATAGATCCATCAACCTCTGATGAAGACTCCAAATTCTGGGCATCAACAATCAATGCAGACAATTCCTTCAGATTTCCACTTTGAACAAAGCCCTTAACCACTTCCATATATGTTCTTTCACCAAAATTTACATGTGCTCCACGTTCATCTTTCAAACTGCGCAACATAGTCCTTGAAACAGCAGCAAAGTTGCCTGAATTAACGTATGCACCAACCAAATTAGCAAAGAAGAAACTTTTACACGCAAAACCAAAACTTCCCATCAAACCTTCTAACTCCATTATCTTCTGTTCAAGCCCCTTCAATGCATACAAATAAGCAAGAGCACCAAAACTCGCTTCATCAGGCCGAAGATTCAAAAGTGACATTGTTTCAACAACTTTCTCAGCATCCATTACAGATTCAAGCTCATGGCAACACCCCTCAAGTGCTGCATTACACGCAATGAGGTCTGGTTTCATAAAATCCAACCTCTCATCTAAAGCAATCCTACAGTTCTCTTCAAATACTCTTAAAAAGGGAATCAAACTACCACTCTGTCTGCAAATATCAACAAGTTCATTGCCCCAGACACTAAAAGGAACAAAGCACCTATTCTTAAACATGCATTTGATCAAAGAAAGAGCAGGGGCAGCAGTGTTGGCACATTTCATAGAAGCCAATAGGGTTTTAACAGACTCAAACTCCAATAGTTCAGGTTTCTTCTCAATAACAAACACCACAGATGCAAAGGCTCTTTTCAGATTATGAACGTCCCCGATTGAGGACAAGTGGGCAATAAGCGAATTAGTGAGAGACTTACATGGGAAAGCAGAGCTTCTCGTGAGCAATTTGAAGGATTTCCACGCCTCATCAGTGTCGCTGGTGAGGAGGGACTTATGGAGGGTTGTTTCTACGGCGGCGACGCGATCTGGAGTTAAAGTTTGAGGAGTTGGATTCTGACGGAGGTCGGTGGATTCTTGAGATGACGATAATGGGGTTCTCTTGAGGGCAAAAAGGGAGGGTTGGAGGAAGGAGTAGAGAGTTGGAATTTCTGGTGCAGAGGAAAATGACCTGCGAGGAATCGAATACAGAGCTGTTTTCCACATTCTTCAATCAACATTCAATCCTTCCTCCCTGATCGAAAGCTGCTCCAATTCTTCTACAGTCGATATCGAATTCCCAAATATTTTTTTGAAAATATCGATATATTCTCATGGTCTTACCTTCGCAATTTTAGCGGCTGGAGATTCCTTCGTCGTTTACGCAACCTTATGATGACCTTCGTCCATGGAGTCTGGAGACTGGACCAGGAGGGAGGTTTTATCGACTGGGTACATTTTTTTTATGGGCTTTCAAATTGTTTTCGGAGATAATAAGGTTGATTTAGAAATTTATTTACAAGTATCTAAATTTTTTTAATTTTACACTTTTATTTATATTTATTATAGTTATTTATTTTTTTTAAATATAAAAAATTTAATTTCATAAAATATTATCATAATCGAGGACTCATACTAATTTTCAACACAAATTCTTTAATTCACTCACAATTCAAAATCACAAAAGCATCTTTTGGAGTCTCACTAAATATATATTCAAAATCAAAGTATATATCCATTTGTATATCTGCATATATACATTTAAAATCACTAGTATATATCCGTATATCCGTATATATATAAGTTGAGTTATAAGATATATCATAATCAAATCACTATAATATATATCCCTATATATACAATATTTCACACAAAATCAGAAATTGAAAACATCTGTTGGAATGCAAACCTTTCAATCTGGAGATGAACTGCTATGGCGACTGAGAAAAATGGAGGCGGCCGGAGATGAAGACAGGCAGGCGTCTCCAGAAATCTCCTTTCGAAGGCGGTCGAAGATGAAATGCTCTTACGACAAAAAAAAAAAACGGAGCCGGTCGAAGAGGAAGGTAGACATAGACGGACGGTCGGAGAAAATGAACGAAGGGTAAGAGGAAGGAAAACCGACGGTCGGAGGAAGAAAAGAAAAACGAGGAAGAAGAAAGGGTGTGTTTCGAAAATGGATGGTTTTTGGGGGGTTTTGGGATTTTTTAGTTTTGGAGAGTATCATTAGCACGTGATTTGACCTCCCAATTTACCAATTATATATTTTAATAATTATTTAATATTGAGATAGATCTATGAATGTATTAGTAATTTGTGTTATGAGTATCATCTCAAAAGTGTAAATTCTATATTTTTACATCATTTTTATGTAATTATGATATCTAAATAGATTAATAACCCCTTATTTTGTTGTGTTTGTTTGTTTTTTTTGAGTACAAATAGCTTTTACTTTAAATTATTTAAAGTTTTGATTGCCTTTTTTCTTTTAACACGAGGAATATGTCAATTAGCTATACTCACTTTGATATTTACCTGCTTTCTAAATTTAGAAAAATCCCGGATTTAACCAGATCAATTTTCACCTCAAGTTTCAATTTTATCCAATTATACCAAATGGCAAGTGTCTACTTGAATGACTAAAAAAGTATCTTCCTGTGTTAATTAAATTGTCAAACATATGTCAAATATAAAATTTAGGATTTAACGAAAAAAATGATTTTTCTTTTTCTTTTTTGAAATGGGGAGTTTCGAGAGAGTCATTCAATTATCTTGATCTTATGCAAAGTTTGATCTCATCAGAAATTAATAAATTTTTAGAAATTTTTACTTTTTTTTTGTTAAATTAGTAGGTAAGTTATTTAGACTACTAACCGAGTAATTTTAGTGGCATAACAAAAGCCTATCCTTTTAAATTTAGGAGGGTGTGAATTATTTTTGCACAAAATTATAAAAAAGGTAATAAATGAAAGTTTTGGGTGAAAATTGATATAGCTTACTCGAGGATATTTTTTTTCCTTATTATTAGTTGTTATCATACATCGAGACAGCTCTAGAAAACCCCAATAAAAATATTTTGATATGTTTCAAATATAATTAAAAAAATAGAAAATATTTGAAATTTATTCTTCTAAAGTTCATAGGAACCAAATCATCCACTTTGAATAAGGTCAAATAGATGTCGTTAGAGTTAGAAACTATAAAACTAAAATTCCAATGAATTGGAGACCATATCAAATTGGCATCTCAATAATTATATCATATCATCGCCAAGCGTCAAATATATACTTCATTGCATTGAAAAATGTTTCAAAATAATCGTCCATGCAAATCTTTTCATATTTTGGGTACAAATAGGAAACCAATCCCTTTTATGTGAATAAACTGTGTATACATACGGAAGTTTCCAAAACATTATTACTCTACAAGAAACAATTTCTACAATATATGAGCAGCTGTGATTGCCTTCTAACTGGTTAAAAAAGATGTGTTTTCACACAGTTATCCAGAAGATTTTGTAGCACTACTCTCATTTCTATTTCTATGTCCTGATGAAGCCATTAGGATCCCAACAGCCACCATAAACATAAACAACATGCTGATGAGCAACACATACGTTTTCTTCGACGATCTACGGTATTCGCCAAACAGGAGAATTCCCCAAAACGTGCTAACGAGTGGAAGCGCCTGAAACAACCATTCGAGATCGAAACAGCAATGTAAACAATGAGATTACTAAAACTTATCCTGTGCCATCTAATATGGTCATATTAGCATAATATACACACAAGGGCATGTTCAGATAAAGAAATAGAACTAATTGAAGCTGTAAATATCGAGTTGTCAATAAATAGGGGAAAAAATTGACCTGCACAGCATCTGCTGCTGCATATCCAGCAGCTTGACCACCCATGAACTGCAGACCATTGCCAAACCCACACAGGAATCCAGCCAAGAAGGCCCATCCTCTACCATTCCAGTCATTCAGATATGCCTTGAATGTTGTTTTCGGTAAGTTAAGTACAGGGCGGTAAAGGAAGATGACGTTAAGAACGATGGCTATGACAAAACAAGAGACTGAGAAGTAGAAAAATGCCGTATAGACATCCAGGTGCGGAACGCCTTCTTTTAGAGTGTGCCATTGATCGTTTGTGGCCAAATTGAATGCCGGTGAGAAGAGAGAAAAGCAAACACCAGCAAAGAAAGTTATGGACAGTCCAATTAATGTGCTCTTACCAAACACCTGCAAGTATATGCCATTAAAAATAGAAGAGGAAAAGAAGCAACGGTCTGCAACAAGTATTATTTGCAGTGGGATTACATACCTTGATGGATCTTCTGTTCTCAAGCTGAACAAGAAAGTCTGCAGTCCCAGCCTTTGCCTTTTGCGAAGAATAATCGGCACTTTCCAAGTCTGTTGATTCAACTATACATGTCAAAATTCAAAACAAAAGAACCAAACTGCCATTTCGCTCATAAAGGATGACTGAAAAAATAGTAGTAGATTATAACTCCAGAAGTTTTACCCTTGCTCGAAATAGAAGGGACATCAGTTGTCCTGTCAAAATTGGATAAGGCAGAATATATTATCAAACATATATACACGAATAGTCAATCATTCTACTAAAAGAACAAAAAACGAATTCAAAAACCGAATTTAAAAAGTGAAACCAATCAAACTGCATATAATTCGCCACAAAAACGATGAAACAAACAAATTTGGTGCAGTGGTCAGCAAGGCAAACTATGTAATACTAATAAGATCACAAGATCAACTAAACAATAAAATATCTTACAAGTTTATACACATTGGTACGCAAAGAAGACATACTTTGACCATTTTTTCGTATCAGCAGACAGTTTTGCTTTGTTATCTGCTGTGTTGGATGAGTGAACAGCAGAGCCAAGACACACCGCAATCAAAAAGCAAGCAACACCAGGGAAAAGTATCTCGGCTTTATTAATTTTGTCATCAAGAAAGTAGTTCAAGGTTGTACCTTAAAAAAATCAATTAATGCCCCAGGAGGGAATCCCATCAGATTCCAGACATATATATTTGAGTAACATATTAATAATCGATAGGTTAGTTTCTTTTCCACTGAAAGACATACATAGACAAATAAAAGAAAGAAATAGAATGGAGCAGAGATAGAAACCTATAACAACTGTAATACTTGAAGTGATCACTTCTGTAACTGATAGACCAACAAAAGCCCAAGCGTACTGAGTAGAAAGATTCCCAAGACTCAGTACTATACCACCAGCCATTGCAAACATGACAGAAGGCCAATTATCCTGCATACAACATTTTAGAAGATTAGACACCTATTACAACATAATTTTACACATGTGATTAACAGTGTGTTTGAGACGATTCTTGAAAAAAGTGATTTTAAAACAAGGCTCATTGGTCCAAAGGGACTAGGGTACTTAAGAGGGAATGAGTTCAAATCCCATGATGGCCACCTACCTTAGAAATTAGTATTTTTTATGTGTTTTTCGACATCAAATGTTGTAGGGTCAGGCGGTTGCCCCATAAGATTAGTCGAGGTGTGCGTAAGCTAGCCCGGACACTCACGAATATTAAAAAAAAAAAGAAGTACTTTTTCTCCAAGCACATCTGGAAAATTACTATAGTGTTTAAGTAAAGTTTTGTTAGTGATTTTAGATGCCTTAAAAGTATTTTTTTAAAAAATCTACGGTCTTTGATAATAAATAAAAATATTTAAAAAAAAGGATTGCTTTAAAAATCTTTTGTGAAGAAACGTTGTGAGATCATTATTCAAAAAGGACACCCTTATATTATGTCCTTGAGGAGTGATTACTCAAAAAAAGTACTTGAATTAAAAAATATGTCAAACTCACCCTACCATAACCAATAATACATGACTAGTGGGCTTGGGATGGTTTCTCGAAAAGTGTTTTTAAGTGAAATATTTCTTCTAATAAGCACTTTTGAATGAACAATATTTCGAAGAAAGGCTACTTCTAAGAGTAATTTCAGAGTTTTAACAAATCGAACCCTTGAAAATGTTCAAAATCAGATGATCAAATGAGTGCCAAAAGATGTACAGTGATGTGACATGGTAACTGGCCGAAAATCCTAGAAATGGAAATAAACAAACGCAGATGCATGAACAACATAGGTAAATAAAGGAAAGCAACCTGAGAAAGCTGTTGGATAAAATTTGGACTATCATGTGAACTCTTTCCAATCTCACCAAAAGTAAAAGCAATAATCACAGCAGCCAATAAATTCGTAATCGAGTAGTCGAGGTAAGTATGCTGAGGAAGACGCCCCCGTCGTTCAAGGAGAGTCAAGAGTGCAGGCCATGTTCCCAAAAAAAGAAGTGCCAACAGCATACATGCTATAGCACCTCCTTTACTCTCGACCACATACATGTTCTAAACCTCCAAGAATATATTAATCCACACTCTGATTATATAGTCAATAAATGATGAAATGCCAAAGAAATCCTGCAGAGAATGGTGATAATAATCAGTCTCATTGTTTTCCTCCAATGAGAAAAACATGCGAGATCAAGTACCTAGATCATCAATACAATAACAGCAACAAGAATGATCCAGATGGTATACAAACCTAAGACTGATAAAATTTAGAGTCAATGGTAGAAAAACCTAAAAATAAGATCATCAAACCGATTCGGAAACAGAGAAAATCTAATTCCACACTAAGAAAAGTAAAGGGCACAATCTATGAAGATGATTACCAATCGCATTAAACGTCCAGTACTCTAATCGCAGTGGACTTTGGGAACGCTTCAAACGAATCAAACCACGAACAGAACCACTGCCATTTCAAAAATTGGGGGAAACGGATTGAAAGAAACCATGGAGTCGTTGGAAATACGTCGATTCCTCTTATCGTGGAGAAGAAAATTGGTTAACTGTAAATGGACTGGGGCCAGCAAAAGGGAAACTGTGGAAATCCACGCACATGGCTGGAATCTCGAAGGATGATTCTGTAGAACGCAATTATTTTGGCTGATGATGACGATATTCTGCCACTCTCTCCCAATCAAACTTCGTGGTTGGCACAGAGAAGTCAAAGATTCGAGTTTCGTACAAAGTTCAAATTCTTTTCCAACTACTGTGTATTGATAGTTATCCTTCTGTTGAGTTCTGCAAGAGGTGCGGAGATTCCAATTTCCGACGGTTACAAACTTAACATATGTTTCGATTACCATGTTTTTACCGATGATGTTTTAAAATTTTTATTTTAGGTCTAAATACGATTTTGTTTCTATAATATTTACTTTCGTACTTTTCTACCTTTTAGTTTTTATAGGTAAAAAACGTCTTGATTCTTGTATTTAAAAAGTGACTAATTTTGTTGGGATTGGCGGAGTCAAAACGTTCCGACCTAGGGATGAGTCGGGATGCATTAGGATCGAAGTAGAGATGAAAAACAGGAAAGCGAGACACTGTAGGTCGCTTGGGCTGAGGAGACAGCGCCGCAGCACTGTCCAGATGGGGGAAGTAGGCGGACCTTCCGTCCATAGTGCCATGGCACCGAAGACAGCACCATGGCGCTGTGTCGATGTTTATATAACTGCAGTTTCAGGTTTTTAGGTTTTCCACCCACCAAGGGGTTTTTTAGTAATCGTTTTCAGAGGATTTTGGTAGCTAATCAGTGGCAGCGGCTTGGGTATTGACAGAAGCTTTGGGGTTGATCAAGATCGATATTATCGGAACAATTGTATCTTGATTCTTGTGAGCTTTTCGTTTCTATACCTAAGTATTAATTGTGTAAAATACTTAGAAGCTATGGGTTTTGTTGGGACATCTAGGGATATTTTTGGGAGAATTTTGCATCTAATCCTTACAAATTACTCATATCTAAGTGGAAAACTGGACGAACGAGTATAATTTGCTGTGTCCTTTACTTGGTGCTTTACTGTTTTTCTAGGAAAACTGTATCGTTAATTTCCCAACAAATTAAATATTTATTTGAAAATCTTTAATACAAATCTTATAAAGTTGAAACTATTTAATACAAATTTATAGCTATATTTTAAAAATTTTAATGAGTAGAGTGCTATGCTAAAATTGTTATAAAAATAAGATGATATAATAATGAATGGACCAAAATAATCACTTTTTAGAAGTACACATACTTTTGAAAATAAAGAGATCACCTACAAAAATTGAAAGTATAAAAATTAAAATAGATATTTTGAAAATAACTAATATGGAAGAATAGTATTTAAACCTTTATTTTATTTTGTGATTTTTTTTTCCTTCTAAAAAAGAACTTTTTGTGTGAGTTCAAGTTCAACCAACCATAAAATCTTTAAGAGGTTTATTCAATTAGGCCGGACAATATTTTTAGTTGGTGTATTTTTTACCGAATATTTTGTTCTTGTTACTGTTAGATATTAAAATCATCAACAAAATAAGTCTGGCACATATATTTTTATATAGAAATAAATTTGACACCACCCTTTGAAAGAATGTTTTGAGTGGAATATTTAATTTTATATAATCTGTACTAAATAAAAAAGGTAAATTCGAGGATAATTTGTGTACTTATTTTTGCTTTCATTTTTAAATATATATCTATTTTGTCTTTAATATTTTAATACAATTAATAAAATTGTACTAAATATTTATTTAATTATAGAATTTTTTAGGATACAAATACTCATTAATGAATCGTTGAGATGATTTCATCTAGAGATGACATAGTAATAAAGATATAAGACCTTTTGGTGATATCACCTACTATGAATTTGATTTTAACACTTCAAATTTAATGTTAGATATTAAATATTATGAGATCTACTTTAGAATTAAGAAAATAAGAATTAAAGAACAAATAAATTCAATCAATTTCCGTGAAAGTTTAACTTTCTAACAAAATTTGCTTATAATTAAATAAACACGGTCTCTCTCTCTACCCTATAATTTAACTTCAATGATAGCTTTATTGATCATTTATGTTTATCCATATAATTTATTGGTAAAACTATTTAATTATCAAGTGATTGTGAGACATATTTTTGCCAGTATCACATGGTCTTTATTTTTTTATAATAAATAGTTAATCAATGCATTATGCATGTAATAAATTATTGTCTTTGGACTTTTCTACATTATATTATATATTTTTTTCTACATTATATTATATATCTTCAAATTAAATGCACTTGAAAATTATTATATTTAGATTTTATCATTGCTGCACACGACAGATTTTTGCTCAATTTTATACTTTTCATCTTCAATTTTATAAAATTTAAATTATATGCAATTTTTTTAATCATTTTTTTACAAATGTATTTTTTTTAATTTTTAATCATTTTATCAATTTGTATGACAGTGCACATATTTCTTACCAATCAGTCACCTGAAAAAAGCGCTTACTTTTTATATGTTTTAAGATTTGTTAAGATTCCTCTAAAAGAAAAGACATGTTAAAATTATTTTAAACTACATTTACCAAACATTAAAATTTAAAACATCGTCCTTCATTAACATTATAAATGTTTCTTTTAAAAAAAAAAAAAAATATATATATATATATATATATATATATATAAATGTTAAGTTGTTTAAAAAATGAAAAAAAGAAAAGCTGTTTGAATTTTTGGGTTTGGTTATATCTTCAATTTCTTTTTTTCATTTTAATCCTTAAATATGAAAAAGGACTATGTATTCTAAATTCATTTTTAAAGCATTTTGTTTTAGTCATGTATTCTTGGACATTGTACTTGACTAATCTAGTTCCACTTTATAAAATTTGATGGATAACCTTTAGTACAAGTTTATTTCAAAAAAATTTGTGAATAACTATAAGAAATGAGATAAAAATAAAAATAAAGATACAAAAATTGTTACCTTGAACTAGAACCAAAATGAAAATGGAAATTTCAAAACTATAAGAATTAAAATTAAAAGTAGAGAAATCAAAATATTAAAAAAAATAAAAAAAAGGTAGAAATATTAATATATTTGGACTCATAAGAGAAGTAGTGAATGATAATTTAACCTCACGAACCGATGAACTTAACTAATGGTAACTAGTACTGACCAAAAGTGATAGAGTTCGAATTGTTGCACTAAAAAAAAATTCAATCCGAAAGTTTTAAATACACGACGAGGAACAATTTCAACACATACAGCCGTAATTTCCTTCTAATTGGCACAAAGGTTTGTGCTTTCACAAGATTTGCCTAATGATTTTCCAACACCTCTCTCATGTCGATGTCCTGATGAAGCCATTAGAACTACAACAGCCGCGGCAAACATAAACAACATGCCGCCCAGCAGTACGTATGTTTTCCTCGACGATCTACGGTATTCTCCAAACAAAACAATCCCCCAAAACGTGCTCACCAGTGGAAATGCCTGAAACAACGGCGTAAAACGATGGCGATATCAATTAAAACCGTCAATATCGAGTAGCGGTGATATTGCAATCATAGAGAAATTTATAGTCCTTCTGTAAGTACCTACACCCTCTGTTCACCATCATGAATTTTGTTTCATAAATAATTCTTCGATGTCGTTATACCCCACAACATGACGTGAGTGAGAATGAATGATAATAATATCTATACTACCGCAGTACTGGAAATTTTCTACTTACTGACCTCCACAGAATCTGCAGCTGCATATCCAGCAGCTTGACCACCCATGAACTCCAGACCATTGCCAAATCCACACAAAAAACCAGCCAAGAAGGCCCATCCTCTACCATTCCAGTCATTCAGATATGCCTTGAATGATGTTTTGGGTAAGTTAAGTATAGGCCGGTAAAGGAAGACGACGTTAAGAACGACAGCTATGACAAAAAAGGAGGTCCCAAAGTAGAAAAATGCAGTATAGACCGTCAAGCGCGGGACGCCTTCTTTCAGAGTGTGCCATTGATCATTTGTGGCCAAATTGAATGCAGGTGAGAAGAGAGAAAGGCAAACACCAGCAAAGAAAGTTATGCACAGTCCAATTAGTGTGCTCTTACCAGACACCTGCAAATATGTGCTAATTCTAGCCACTTAATAGATGTGATGTGAGAATAAAAGAGAAACAGAAGCAATGGCCTTTAGAAGCCCATATTATTTGCTTTTGCTCTGCACTTAGGACTATTAAATTCTTTGGCCATAAGAATACTCAATTTTGGAAGGAATCTGTTCACTAATCTGTTGACATGTATTACAGACCTTGATGGATCTTCTGTTCTCAAGCTGAACAAGAAAGTCTGCAGTCCCAGCTTTGGCGTTTCGTGAAGAACAATCGGCATTCTCCAAGTCCTTCGATTCAACTATACATGTCAAAATTTAAAACAAGAAAGTTAACTTATCATTTCACAAGCAAAGAATCAACAAAAGATAGCAGTAGACTAAAACTTACCTCTGCTTGAAATTGTAGAGGCATCAATTTCCCTGGAAAAAAAAAAGGATTTGGAAGTAAATATCATCATCTGAATATATTCAATCAATATTCCCACTGGAAGAATACAACCTCAGTAGAATTCATAAACAAAATTTTGATTTGAATAGCCAGCCAGGAAAATAATGTGATTATGAATAAGATCATAACATCAACTAAACGATGAAGTTCGTAAGTTTACACATACTTCGACTCTTTTTTCAAATTGGCAGACAGACGTTCCAGCTTTGCTTTGTTATCAGCAGTGTTGGACGAGTGAACGGCAGAGCCGAGACATACCGCAATCAGAAAGCAAGCAACACCAGGGAAAAGAATCTCCGCTCTATTAATCTTGCCATCAAGAAAGTAGTTCACAGTTGAGCCTTTAACCAAAAAAAGAAAAAAGAAAATCAAGCAATACCCCAGAGGAGGGAATCCCATCAGACTGCAGACATATATTTGAGTAACACATAATTAACTAATAGGTTAATATCTTTCACTTGAAAAACATACAGAGACAGAATGGAAAAAAGGAAAGAAAAGATAGAGATAGAGACCTAAAATTACTATTATACTACAAATGATCACTTCTGCTACTGATAAACCAACAAATGCCCAAGCATATTGAGAAGAAAGATTCCCAATACTTAGCGCCACACCACCAGCCATTGCAAACAAAACAGAAGGCCAATTATCCTGTGTACAATATTTTAGAAGATTAGGCACCTATTTACAACATGATTTTACAAATGTACTTTAATCAACAGCATGCCAAGTCAGAAGTTACTTTAGGCAAAATATTAAGATAGATAAATGCATATTTCATATTAACAATCAATAAACAAAACCCCTGTACTAGTCCCAAGGTCCGGACCAAGAGACGTCGAAAGGTTTCAACTTGACCTAAGCAGGTATGACCGAAAGATCTCGAGCTATTACCAACTCGTTGCCCTTTGGGGCTCCCCGCATCATCATATTACACGATAGTTTCACAAGAAGATGCACCTAGTGATTTGCCCAATTTCACAGAGATGGAACCAAAGAAAAGAAGAAGGCAACTGAAATTTCCAACCTGAGAAAGCTGTTGGATAAAATTTGGACGATCTGGCGAGCTCTTCCCAAACTGACCAAGCGTGAGAGCAAAAATCACAGCAGCTAAGAAATTGGTTATGGTGTAATCAAGGAAAGTGTGTTGCGGAAGACGCCCCCGCCGTTCAAGAAGAGTCAACAGTGCAGGAAAAGTTCCCAGACAAAACAGCGACAATACCATACATGCTATAGCTCCTTCTTTAGTCTCCACTACATACATGATGAAACACCAATTAAAGAAATCCTGCACAGAGAAACCAGATATCAATTAATTCAGTGTTAATCGAAAATACCCATTGGACTTCTAGAAACAAACAGTATAATGTAACAGAAGCCGAAGAAGAGAATACAATTTATCAGAAATTTGGGGGGAAGTGGAGTAAGTTGAAGCAGAGTGGTTGCAGATACGTGGGTTTTGTGGAGAAGGAGAGGCTATTGATTCAGATCGCAATAATGAGATGAAAGAAATATATGATAATAAAAAAACAAGCACGACCTTTAATATGCAATTATTTTAGATATGGTGACCGTCCCATCTCATCCTCTACCGTTCGCTTTCTGCACAGCTTGCCTTTTTTGCACACTCAACTCAGAAAGATTTTACACTTAAAAAGGATTTTTTTTCAATTAAATAATAAATCTATTCCAAACTTTAATATTTTCCTTTGTCTATTATATGAATTTGAGTAAAACACGACTACATGTTTATTGATAAATTTCTCGAAAAAAGTACAAATATTCCTTAGGTGTGAAGCATCCATCTTTTGAAGTAGAAGAGAAAAGTCTAGAAAGAGAAATAATTTTTTAAGTTCTAAAAGCTATTAAATTTTGAGTGGTGACCAGTCAACTGAGCCTTATAGAGATTTCGAACAATGTTTCGGTTCTCAATTTTTGTTTCTTTTCCTCACCGTTTGCACCGTAGAAGACGTGGTTCTTGCCGACGCGACCGGCGGCGGCGGCGCGGGGGCTGAGACCGGAGAAGAGCAGCGGTTCTTTGCCGGCGGAGGAGAGAAATTGGACTTGGAATTTGATCACATGGGTTGGCGGTGGCGTGGAAGTTGCAGATGCAGGGTTGTCTGCATGCGTACTGCAGAGTTGTCGGTTCATACAGCCATGGTATTGAATATCAAATACGTCCACGTTTCTGTCCATGTGTCTATAAATAAGTCGTCATCAGGATAATTTGTCTCTCTAGTACATAAAATCGGTAAAACATGAAAAACTTATTTAAAAATAGAAAAATATTTATTTATTAATTTAAATATTTTTTACGACTTTAAATTTTTCTATCTTTCTAACTTTGAGAGAGACATTTTATCGATACTAGTGTATCACCCCATGCAAATGCACGTAATATTCTTTTTATTTAATTTTTTATTAATAAAAATATCATTATTTATTGAAAAAATGTATCAAAAGTAAAAAACTTAAAAGAAATATTTATAAATGAATAGAATTATATAACTCAATTTTTGTTGGTGAAATAGCGTTGGAAGAAAAATTTACTTTATATTTTAGAAAAAAAGTATAAATTTTTTCAAGTAACTAAACTGATTTTTCATATCCAATTTTTTTAAAATTCTATACATTTATTAGGTGTACTTAAATTTTCATTTATTCAAAATTGATTTCCCTCTACTTAATAAAAATATGATTGATTCTTTCCCCTAATTAATTTTTAGCATTAACAACTTATACATTTTTCTTTAAAACAATAGATACTCATAAATTTATATCTAAGTTAATTTTACTTATTATATTTAGATATTTAATAAATAAATATAATAATTACTGTAACAAAAATTATTATATTATAATATTTCTATAATATTTATTTTTAATCCACTTTTAATTTGTTATATTAATTTTAATGAGTTATAATAAATTTACAATTGTGAATAGAAATACACTTTAGAGTTTTAATTTAACACATTTATAAATCAATGCACAAAATATTCCTATACATAATATTCCTATGCATAATAGAATATCATTTTTTAGCTACTTTTAATTTAACGATTGCTAAAAATATGCTATTTCCTTTAAATGAAACTCAACAAATAAAAACAGTAGCTACTTTTAATTTAACAATTACTAAAAATATGTTATTTCCTTTAAATGAAACTCAACAAATAAAAACAATAGCATTATTGCTTAATGTTAGTAGGAGATAACTTTTTTTTTTATCTACAAATATGAGAGAAAGTTGATTAATCCACATTACATAGAATAAAAAATCACAACAATACTAATTGTAAAATAATTTATAATATTTATAGGAATGATTTAATACCTGAATTTCTCAGAAATTGTTCACCTTAATTGATGCTTGAGATCAAATTGTAAGATTTAATGACTTCTACTTATAAAAAAACATTATTATGCAACTCTTATAAATAGAGCGCTCAACGTGCTACGCCATTGTACACTATGATGCTACTAAATCTATATATATAAAATTTAAAAGAATTGATCAAGAAATGAAAAGAAGCATAAACTAAGGAAGAGAGCTAAATTATGGTGGGAAGAATAATCGAGGAACTCATATATATATATATACACACACACGATGGATATAAGTTGAAAAACTTTTGAGATTCCAATATCTTTTGAATTCCATTCATTTCAATTAAAGTAAAATCATAAATTGTTAAGAGTAAATATAAGTAACTTTTCATATTCAAKMTTTTTCATATTCATAACTTTTATGTTTTTATTAATTAAAGTTATTAAAAATAATAAGAGATGACATTCTTAATAAATTAAAAATCGATAAGTGGATAGAATAATGCAAAAATATTTTTCCAAGATGCTCATTTTTAATTTTTAGCATTAAGAACTTATCCATTTTTCTTTAAAACAATAAATACTCATAAATTTATATCTATAAGTTAATTTTACTTATCATATTTGGGTATTTAATAAATAATATAATAATTACTGTAATAAAAATATTATATTATAATATTTCTATAATATTTATTTTTAATCCACTTTTAATTTGTTATATTAATTTTAATGAGTTATAATAAATTTACAATTGTAAATWGAAAAATACTTTAGAATTTTAATTTAAYACATTTATAAATCAATGCACAAAATATTCCTATGCATAATAGAATATCATTTTTTAGCTACTTTTAATTTAACAATTACTACAAATATGCTATTTCCTTCCAATCAAACTCAACAAACAAAAATAATAGCATCATTGTTTAATGTTAGTAGGAGATAACTTCTTTTTCTTCTTCCCTTTTTTTTTCCTTCCTTCCTACAAATAGGAGGGAAAGTTGATTGAATAAACCATATTACATAGAATAAAAAATCATAATAATATTAATTGTAAAATAATTTATAATATTTATAGGAATGATTTAATACCTGAATTTCTAAAAAATTATCCACATTTGATTGATGTTTGAGATCAAATTGTAAGATTTCAATGACTTCTATTTATAAACAACATTATTCTGCAACTCTTATAAATAGGGACGCTAACGTGCTACGCCATCGTGCACTATGACACTACTAAATCTATATGTATAAAATTTAAAAGAATTGATCAATAAATGAAAAGAAGCAAACTAAGGGAGAGAGCTAAATTATGGTGGGAGGAAGAAGGGAGGAACTCATATATACATATATATATACACACACATGTAGAAGATGAATATAAGTTGAAAAAC